AGTACCAAAGGAAGTTCATCAAACCTCTCTTTGTCTTAAACTAGGTCTTCACCTTAACTGCATATATTACCTTAACTTTTCCAAATGGGACTAGTTTCTTTCTTTTAAGTATTAATAAATCCTATTAAATCCATGTATAATAGTAAAATTGAAATGTGACCGATAGGGTTGATAATGTTATAATTTATATAGTTGATATTAATGTGTATTTTAAATTAATATTATTAGTCTAAAATTCCATCATATTTCTTAAGTTGTCGAATTTAAACTAGCTCTTATCTCTTAGTAATATGGGTTATTATTCGATTGTAATTTATGGTTTTTATTTAAAATATTATCTTCTATCTCTTAATAAGATATAGTTATTATTATTAAAGAATTTTTATTCAATATAAAAAAAATACAAAAAGTAGTTTTACCAGGGAAAAAAAAGAATAACCAATATTATCTAGTAAAAAACCAAAGTATATTAAATTATCTACCAAAAAAATATTTTTAAAATATATCAGTGACTAAAAATCCCTATATAACAGACCATTTCACAATAATTAAAAAAACAACCTTCTGTAAAATAAAAATACAACAACCAACGTTAAGAGGAAAAAAACATCGCATAGAAAAAAAAAAAAAAAAAAAAAAAAAGCATAACCAACAATCACACCAAACACCAGAGGATCGCCATATAATCCATTTAACAGATTACCAGGTGATATCCTTTTGGAAATATTGATCAAAGCCTTGCAGCAAAATCCAGAAGATTGCATTAAAATCAAAGATAGATAACAAAAATTCGAAAACTCATTTTTGAAACAAAAAAGAAAATTGAAAAATAATATCCACGTGAAATTAAGGTACGGCAATTTTTATATGTTTATATGTAGGGTTGCAAAAATTTACAACTATTAGGTTTTGTCACAAAGCTATTGCAGACATACCATATCTGTGACGAACAAATTAAGATTAGTCGGTAGTAATGTATAAAGGGTTTGCCAATATTCAATTTGGATCAAAGTCCATCCCAAGAAATCAACCAAACGCCCATATTCAAACCTTCTTGTCACTCGTGCTTGATTTTCAAAAACCTATATATAGTTAATCTATAATATTGCACAATAAGAATAATCATCTTCATAGATCAGAATATATCCGATCAGTAGGTCAACAATTATGACGAGACAATAGAGTTTAATTAAAAACTGTATATTTGCAGTATAATTTAATTCTATAATCTACAATATATTTGATTTTTCTTACTAAATAAATTATATATCCACTTTTTTTACTACATAAATTAAACTGAATGATAAAAAACGGAATGATACAGACGACATGCTTTTGAATAGTTATTAGCTGTAAAAGTCAAGCCCATCAAATTCCATCAAGTTGGCAATTGGGATAGCATAAATTGACTGAGGGTAGTAGTGGTGCAATTAGGAATATGGAGACCTATTTGAAATGTATCCAATAGATGGAGGATATATTTGTGGTTTTCCCGAGTATTATTGCGTATTTATATCGCCGATGGTTAGGTGGAGAGGAAGTAGAACCGAAGCTAAATATGCCAGGAGCGGAGACTTGAAGTTCTTCAGTCATACCATTTGGTAATTCTGTTAGTTTGACTATAGGATACTGGCTGATTATAAAGGCAAATACATCTTTAAGTAATTGGATTAGTGGTTAAAATTTTTTTAATTTTTTTAATTATTTTTTTACCTTTTGAGTTCAACTTTGGCGCTATTGTGCAGAGGAATTTATTAAATTCACTTAATGAAACTAAAACAATCCTTGTAGTTTGTACAAATGAAACTAAACCTAATAAAAAGTACGAAGCATAATTTAGAAATAATTAAAATGAAATATACTTTTTTATCGATTTTTCGTTCTAAAACTAAACCATAAACCATAAATTAATTTAACAATAAAAATTAAACATCCCAATTTACAAATAAATGTAATCATATATGTTTATTATATAAAGTAAAAGACAATAAAAATAGAAAATTTAAAAAAATAAAACGAAAAGGAGTTAATCTTCCAAAAATAAAATCAATTATAAAAAAGCCAATTTGAACCTTCACCAATTTCGAAAATAGGAGGAAATAGGAACGGTGATTTTGCTTTCTGTGTGTGTGTGTTTTGCTTTATTCTTTCAAATATTATATGTTTGGGTGTTAATATCAAGTTACTATTTTAATCATAGTCTAGTTAGATGGATAGAATCAGAATATTATGTGACATAAGGATGATATCATTCAAAATGTTTATTTTATAACTTTTAGTGTGTTCTACTTCCAAAAAATTATATCTGAAGTAGAAATATTCTTTTGCATTATAACAAAAATTAAATTTAGGAACGCTGAAATATTCTCACATTTTGACAAAAAACACAGGATCACTATATTATCATTAATTTGCAATCATTTTCACCGAAATGCTGAAATAATTGCAATTAAGCAAATGGTCAAACCTCATTATCTAGAAACATAACGATAATTGCGACACAAAGAAGAATTCACAGAAATAGATGATCAATGTAAATGTAAAAGGTTGTTTTTCTTCAATAATTGTTGTCCTAAACTTAAAAAGATAGTTTTTTTTTCCAACGTAAGTTTGAGAAAGATTTTCTGTCAATTAACATTAAAAAGGTGGTTCCTATAGATCCACGTTTTAATTTTCTGTGTCCTGACTCCTGACCCCCCTGATGGGTCCAAAATCATCCTATTTTCAGCGAAATTTCCAGCCCATCTTCTCCAAGAAAGCTCCAAGCCATGTCTTATGTCTGATGTGAGATTTTTTGGAAAAATTATTTAGTACTGCCACCAGATGTTACATTCCTTTCTATCGGTCTTTTTATATTATCTATTTCTTTTTTTTATCTTTTTTATTTATTAAAAAATAATTTAGAAAAATATGAAATGAACAGAAAGAACTCATACAGTTATCAATGGATTTAAAAACACAAAGATTGTATTGTGGTTTCTGAAGAACTAGTTTTGGCAAACTATATACGGTGACCAGGTTATAATCAACTGAATATTCAGTGGATATATATATATATATTTTTTAAACGATAAGAATATTTTCAGACCGTCTCATAAATGACCTCGTAATTATATTTATGACAAACGAAAGTTAAAACCGAATGCTTACTCCTTAGAAGAACTCCAGTTTCTGCTTCTGTTTCAAAACGTATAGAAAATACATGAGATAATTGCATTATAAATATACTAATTTTTAACCTTTTTTTTTCAATTGAATCTATAATTTTTAATTTTTTTATTTGAATGAATAATTTTTTAAAAAAATTATCAATAAAATATTTTTATCAATTTCTCTGCTAAATAAAGATATATCCATTAGTTCATAATACAAAATTACAAATTTAGCCTTTATTTCTCAATTAAGTACATATAATTTAATTTTTTTCATTTAAACACTATTTGTTTTTTAAATTATCAATCAAATATTTCTGATAATTTTTTTGTTAACTAATAAAAAAATCAATTACCCACAAAATATAAAATTACAAATTTGCTCTCTTTTTGTTGGAGTAAACTTTCCTCCCCATTTTAAAATTTGACAAAAAATCTAAAACCCATTATTTTTAATTAGGTTTAAGCATGAAAATTAAAAAAAACAAAAACAAAAACAAAAACATGAGATTTTTTTATTAAATAAAATTCATTGTTAACTGTAACTGTGATATTTTAAGAATAACAATTGACAAAAATACTTCATTGAAAATTTCAAAATAGCTAGTGCACTCAAACAGAAAACTTGAAGTCCATTTATGTGGAAGAAAAAGAAGGCAAAACTATAGTTTGATATTCCAAAAGAAATAATTACATCATTAGATAATAGAGAAATTGAGGTATGTACTTAATTAATTGTTTTGAAAAAGTTATTATATTCAAATTAAAAAAAAAATCTTTAATAACATCATAAAGCAATTTAATCAAATGAAACCGTGTAAGCACGGGTAAATGACAAATTTATTATTGGAATTTGTGGCTCAAATCCTCAAATATTATTTATTTGGTACAATGTGAAGAAGGAAACTGCACTCAGAAAAATGTTGGATTAGGAGAAGTAATTTAGAAATGCAGTGCACACAATCTATGAGTGGTTCCTCCGATTAAGTTTGACCAAAACCACTTCATTTTTCCCTTATTCATAGCCAAGGAGAATTGTAAATGGGAGTCACAATAGACTTGACTTGAAGGAACTTATGAAGGGCTTCCAGTCCAAGATGCCTTCCAAATCCACTCATCTTGTATCCTCCAGAAGAACAGTCGCTATCAAATGCAGAGTAGCAATTGATCCAAATGGTGCACTTAATTACATCATTAGATAATAGAGAAATTGAGGGATGTACTTAATTAATTGTTTTGAAAAAGTTATTATATTCAAATTAAAAAAAAATAAATTAGAACCATGTAATCCAGTTAAAAGTCAGTGCACTCATAGTACAATTATTCCAAAATACATTTACAGGAAAACGTAGCTAAGATTTCATTCAGAGAAAGAATGCATAATAACTTATGCTATTGTCCAATTTATGGAATACTTTACAAATAAACAACTTAAAAATAACATTGTTTCCTTTTTGATTCTCTTCTTGCATAACTAATGGGTCACACACTCTTCAGAAACTGGGGAACTGGGAAAGGATCCTACAACGACGACAACGCACAACAGCTCTGAAAATCATATATTTCAAAAATAAATACTGCACAATGACATAATTAAAAGCAACAAATAAACATGATTACTACAGTCATCAATCAAACCTGCTTAACTTATTACCCTGACCGGCCAGGCCAAGCCAACCTCCTCCACTTTGCCATGTCAAAACCAACCCAGGATTTTATGACCGGCATGTAAGTAATTTGCTTGCATCTTCTGGCAACGTGGTTGTGTATATACAAAGTGATAGCGCAGCGGGATGACAGAATAGCCTCAATGAGTCTTATCTTCCATGGTATTCTCAACTCTACAGATCAAACAGCCTGTGCAACAGACTTTGTGGTGTTGGAATCTCCTTTCACGTTTAACTTGGATTTATCCTTGATGGGCTTCTGAGAGCTAGGTGTCTCTCTAACAGCATTTCTGCTATGCCTAGCTGCCTGAGCAGCAGTACCTCCACCTGCTTCAACCAAAATTAATAATAAGCGAAGAGAACAAAACTGCTACTAAAACCTGTAGGTCAGGACCAGTATCATAGTCATGCTCATGGAATTAACCATCCATCATTGACCCTTAAGTGAGTTTAGGCAAGAAATTCTGGAAATAGTTGATGCCTAAGCAGAATTTTCAAAAACTTCAAGCCCTATAATTTTACCTGCCTGAATTACTATATTTTGCATAAGAAATATGACCTGTTTGATACAGAAGCAGTGATTTTGGTCTGCAAACATTGAAAAATCTGAAAATGACGTGCTTCTATAGGTATCTATTGCCTAATTTAAAGTTTATCAACTATTGAGAGGGCAAAAAGGCTCAATTAAAAGGCATTTTTTTTTTAAAAAAAAGTGTACCATGGCCCCCTTTTCATGTACAACAGCTTGTTCAAAATTCATAGTCAAGCGACCATTTTTGTGACGAGCAGTGTGGCAATCCTCACATACTTTTGAAACTGTGTGCATTCGTGTGAATGTAAGTGCATAAAGGAGAGACACGAGAGAAAACTAACCACTGTTAGGCATAGACAATCTCTTCTTTGCCTGTTTATCTAGTTGGGTGGTTCTCTCCTTTGGGTTGCTGTGAGATCTTGTAGCAATAGCAGGTCTTGATTTGGCTACTTCAACCAGGTCTTCAAAAACTGGCTTTGGCTTTGGTTTAGAAAAGAGAGTGTTGGGTGCCTCTAACATGCTTGCTGACTTACTAGGTGAGGAGCTGCCACAGTCAGAATGAGATGGACCTGTTTTCTGACTTGAAATGGTTGATTGAAGATTTGAGGCAACTGCTTTCTTGGCACTAGTTTTTAACAGGGACTTGCTGCCATTCTTGACCTCAGTAGCTGTTTCATCTTCACGAATCATCACTCCATCTCTGAGATTTATGTCAAGAAAGCGGTTCTCCCATGGTCGAACAGCCATCCATCTCTCCAACCAGTTCCAGCCCCAACTGCTTTTATCTGGTTCAAACCCAGAGGGAGCAGCCTGCAGTCTTGACCCAGCCTGCCACTGTGCAAACAGAAGATCTTATGCATTAGTCTGAAGCAACAAGAAATACCTTTGAAGGGTTTCTACGGAGATATCCTCACCATTCAAATAGGAAACTATCATGCAGCACAACTCAAGATAAATGGAGTTAGAAAGTATCTGCCTCTTTTTTCCCTTTTCTCTGGTAGAGAGAAGGTAGGTCACTGTTTGCCATTTTGATCAAATCTGCAAAGCAGATTGCAGGTTGCAACTAATTCTCCACAATGCCATACATAGGCTCAAGATAAACGAAGTTAGAAAGTATCTGCCTCCTTTTTCCCTTTTCTCTGGTAGAGAGAAGGTAGGCCACTGTTTGCCATTGTGATCAAATCAGCAAAGTAGATTGCAGGTTGCAACTAATTCTCCACAATGCCATACATAGGCTTAGAAACCTCACACTATACCTAGGTCATAGTAGAATTATACCACACAGCACTAGTCACTGAAAGAAATTGGATGGTACATATAAACCATCACACACTAAGTGAGAAGTTCACCAGTAATCAATGAAGAGATGTTTGAAAGTACACAAGTTGAACTCACAAAGCTTTTGCAGAAATGAAGGTTATAAATATCCATGCAGAGGAAGAAGGCAAACAAAATAAAAGTTTTCACCTTGTTTGGTCTAGTAAAGAATATGATGCCATTCAGCTAATACTAAGCAAGTGTCCTCAAAAACATGTTTTAAACCCTAGCTGACATCAATGATCACTCAAAGGCACAATTTTTTCCATCTGCACTCTAATTTCCAGACTGTCAGATTATACACATGCAAATTACAATCAAATTTATAAAAAATGTAAAGAAGTATAAGCACAACCAATAGAGCTATCATATTTTTACCTGATGGGCCAGAGCATAAGCCATGGCTCTCTCACGCTTAGCTGCAGCCTCCTGCCGCTTCAGCAACTTGGCTTGAATTTGTTCAACAGATCCCACACTATCACACCATCCTTCCTGTGTAAAAGTGAAATTGATATGAGGCACTCAGCAAGGCTAACAAAAATTAAAGCTGCTATTGTAAACAAACAAGAGCAACTAAGCAGATGAAGTATCTTTTAACCACCATCTTATAATGGTAAAATAAAACATCTGTAAAGAATAACATTTTTTTTCTGTATGAATTTGTTATTTTGCACTTGTGCATCTCACTTAACCCTTTTCTGCCACTACAGAAGAAAAGACAGCAACAAAATCCTATTTAGCTTTGTTCTCAAAGAGGGAAAATGAAAAAGAAGAGCAACTAATGGTAAAAATTAAAGCTGCTGTTGTAAACAAACAAGAGCAACTAAGCAGATGAAGTATGTTTTAACCACTGTCTTATAATGGTAAAATAAAACATCTGTAAAGAATAACATTTTTTTTTCTGTATGAATTTGTTATTTTGCACTTGCAAATCTCACTTAACCCTTTTCTGCCACTACAGAAGAAAAAACAGCAACAAAATCCTATTTAGCTTTGTTCTCAAAGAGGGAAAATGACAAAGAAGAGCAACTAATGGTAAAAATTAAAGCTGCTGTTGTAAAAAAAAAAAGAGCAACTAAGCAGATGAAGTATCTTTTAACCACTGTCTTATAATGGTAAAATAAAACATCTGTAAAGAATAACATTTTTTTTTTCTGTATGAATTTGTTATTTTGCACTTGCACATCTCACTTAACCCTTTTCTGCCACTACAGAAGAAAAAACAGCAACAAAATCCTATTTAGCTTTGTTCTCAAAGAGGGAAAATGACAAAAAAGAGCAACTAATGGTAAAAATTAAGGCTGCTGTTGTTAAAAAAAAAACAAGAGCAACTAAGCAGATGAAGTATCTTTTAGCCACTATGTTATAATGGTAAAATAGAACATTTAAGAGAATAACATTTTTTTTTCTGTACGAATTTGTTAATTTGCACTTGTACATCTCACTTAACCGTTTCTGCCACTACAGAAGAAAAGACAGCAACAAAATCCTATTTAGCTTTGTTCACATAGAGGGAAAATGAAAAAGAAGAGCAACTAATGGTAAGAATTAAAGCTGCTATTGTAAAAAAACAAGAGCACTAAGCAGATGAAGTGTCTTTTAACCACTATCTTATAATGATAAAATAAAACATTTGAGAGAATAACATTTTTTTTCTCTGTACGAATTTGTTATTTTGCACTTGTACCTCTCACTTAACCCTTTCTGCCACTACAGAAGAATAGACAGCAACAAAATCCTATTTAGCTTTGTTCACATAGAGGCAAAATGAAAAAGAAGCAGAAGAAAGGAACTGCTGAGGAACACAATTGGAAATTCTAACCAAGCATTTGCTATTTGGCCACCACTGAAGACCTTTTCGCATGTCCCATGTTTGGATGCAAACCAATCAAATTTATAGAGTAATGAAGAACAATTCATATACAGAATAACAAAGAAAATATATAATCTGAAGCATTAATGATAGAAATACTAATATAAGAAATTCAACATCAGAAAAAAAAAGTAGCAATAAAAGAAGAAAACTTGCACAGTTAACAAAATGAACAATTAAGGTCAAGTCTCTTCCATAAGAACAAGATTTACCAGTTATGCACATGTTTGGAAACATATTTCTATATCTGATCAGAAAAACTCTTTGTTGCTTACCTCTATCTCTCGAACTCGAGCCTCATTAGCTAGTTGTTGCTGAAGTTTCTGTTGAGCTGTTTGACTTTCCAATGCTATGCGAACACGCCTTGCACGGACACGAGCCTGAACTCTCACCAAAGCTTGCATGCAGCGAAGAGTTATTGCAGCTTGTTTTCTCACAGAATGGCCCCGAACAAGGGCTTGCAGTCTCACTAATCCTTTCAAAGCTCGCAGAGCTCTTCTTGCCTTTTATGTTTCCAAAACCATTCAAATGTTAATCAGAAGTACTGTGAGTTGAAACTTAAATACAGTTGAAAGGATTTAGAAAATGAGAAGGATGAATCGGAATAAATAAAGGCACACAATATACACGTGCAATGTCATTTCCACAAATAGGACCAAGAAGATAAACTGGATTACTTTGGTCTTTCAAATAGCTTTCTGAGGGAAATAACTGTTCCTTCCATTATGGTGATCCATCCCAGAGCTCTATAGAAAGATTTCACATCAAATTACCATGTTTTTATAATTTCCATAATCACATTATAATTCCCCAACCTTTAAGACCATATAATGAATAAGTAGGAAGAAATTATGGAGAAAACACTCCACCCACAAACCCACTGGCTGTAATTGGAAAATCATCACACCATCTCCATCCCTGGCCAACTCAAAAATTTCTTATCAACTGGGAATGAAAAGAAGATTCCACATTAAGTACCATGGAAAAAGAATATGGAATCCTCTCTACCAGCTTCAGAAACAATAAAAGTACTATGCCAAACCAAACCTGTCTGACACTTTTCCAAAGGCCTATTAAGCACCCCCTTCCTAACTTAGAAACCCACCCAATACTTGAGCACAATTATCAATACCAAAATGAGGTTCTCCTGTATAATTTCCAGAGCCACTAACCTAAGAGAACTTTATTATAACACGTGAGAATTACAATGCTCCAACTCCCTAAATGTCAAGGATATTTCCCCAGAAGATAGCTAAAATCTTGTCTATGTTTCCCTTAAGTACCTCCTTCGAACCTTTTCAGGTCTTGTTGCGATTGAAGATGGATAGAGGCTAAACATATCAAAGAAAAAGGGAGACTGTAAAATTTAATAAGTGATCCTCCCGTCCTTAGGAAGGTGGTCTCTACTAGGGGGTAAACCGACTTTTAATTTTCTAAACAACATTTCCCACGCCCTTGTATCCTTAAAAATTAGCACTCAAAGGGAGACCCAAGTTATGGACAGATTTTCTATCTCGCAGACCAAAATGCCAGACATGAAATTATTATCCATCCCCCACCCTAAATGAATAACCAAACTATCTATTTCCATTCTTGGTAATACAAACAACATCAATGGCATAAACACACTCCTCATTCTCTGTCAGGAACACATTCTTAATTGAATTAGACAATAACAGTATAAAGCATGCTTATACCAATATTTCCATTTTAAACATGAAGGATTATCATGTGTTCATTAAATAGAGTGAATCAATCACATAATTGAGATGCCAAGCTTCTTTCTTCAACACACACGATCAATCTAACTGGCATTCTTTATTATTTCCCTAGACAATCTTAACAATCAAGAACCCAAGTAGCATTTCAATCACATAATTGAGATGCCAATCTTCCTTCTTCAACACACATGGTCAATCCAACTTGCATTCTTTATTATTTCCCTAGACAATCTTAACAAAAAAAAAATCCAACTAGCAATTCAATCACATAATTGAGATGCCAATCTTCCTTCTTCAACACTCATGGTCAATCTAACTTGCATTCTTTAATATTTCCCTAGACAATCTTAACAATCAAGAATTCAAATAGCATTTCATAATACAAAGATAAAACAGACACAACCAAAATTCACAAACATTTTAAATCTTATTTAATACAGATAGTGAAATGACATAAACAATTCATACCAGAAACCCTCGGAAAGCTGTCTGAATGCGAGTGGCAGCCCAATCTTCTCTCAGAATTTGCTGATCATGAGCTATATCCTGAACTTGAAGTGAAGCAGATGGAGATTCAGAAGCATCTGGGACAGAACGAATATTGGCATCACCAACAGGTGCAACATCATTATGAGAATTAAACTCTTGAAATTTATCAGCATCAAACTCAACCGAATGCTTTCTCCTATGTCGGAACTTGCTAGCAGTTGTCCTCTGCGAAGGTCGAAGAACAACAGCACATTGAAGCCATCAAAATCAAAACTTGAAATAAAAAACAGAAAAAAAAAAAAAAAAATGAACCCACATTTTCCTCCTTGTCCAAAGACTGTGACTTTTCAGACTTCTTTAAACCAACCAATGCTTTAAACCATTTCCCTGAGACCCCCATGGTGCCGGTAACTTTAGCACACAACCCTGCACAAAAAAAAAAAATCAATTTGGCACTAATTATCTGAAAAATCTTGGAAATTGTCAATTTAATTCTTAATAAATTAAAAAAGAGACTGTAAATTAAAAAAAAAAAAAAAGTAAAATAAAGATTGCTAAAAAAAGAAAAAACCCATAAACTTAAATTTTGTGAATTTAAACCGAATCAAAGCAATTCAAGCTCAAAATGCAGCAAAATTCATGAATAGGAAAGAAATTTGAACAAATTAGAGAAATGCAGATCCTCCATAGACCACGATGCAGCAAAAGCAGAATTAACCTGTATCTCTGACACAAAGAGAGTAAGACGAAAGAAGGAGACAGAATCAGGAGCGTCAACGAATGAGAGAAGGAAAGTATGAGATATCTTTTTAACTATCTGATCTTATCAATCACTCAGCAACCCACACTTCGCTCACTCACTTGCTGACTCACTCACTCTCTCAGATTTTCGATTCACTAAGAAAAAAGAAACACTCTCTAATTATTGTGATTCCAAAAGACCACAAAACAAAACACCACATAAATTCTCTCTCTCTCTCTCTCTCTGTAGAATTTGATGTTTTTAATTTAAAGGTGCCAAAAGCAGGCGAACAAAAAGAAGAGAGGGAGGAGTGAGGACCGGTGTAGGCTAAAATACGCCGGGGTGATTATTATTGGGTAAACTTCAGTTTTACCCTTAAGATTCATAAATGTTTGGCTTCAGCTCCTACAGTCGGAACTTCCCACGACTGCTCTTGTGTTTTCCAAAAAATTCTAATGAAATTGGTTTTTGAGTTTTTTTTTAAGTGTTTTTGTGAAATATGATAGCTTGTATAGGAATTTAAAAAGAAATATGAGAGAAAATTTTAAAAACTAATTAACGTTTTGTTAGTTAGGAACAATATGGAACTTTTTAAGAAATTATAAAATTAATGTTGAGAAATTTAAAATATAAGAATAAAAAATGAATCTATATATGGTTAAAAATATAGTTAATCCGGATCTTATATTAATAGTTGTCAAATAACTATATTTTTATACTAATAAATTTTCAAATTCTTATATAGTTTTAAAAAAAGTTTGGTTTTGCTTTTTTACAAGAAAATACTAGTTAAATTCGAAATTATACTTTTTTTCTTTACATAAATTTAGAATCTATCATAAAATTATTGATGATTTTCGTTTTTGTATGAAAGAAAAAAGTACAATCCTGACGTACTTAATAATCCAACTTTCTTTGTTATAAATAATTTAATTTTTTATTTTCCTTTTATTTTATCTTTCAAATCCCAACATGTTCTAGTACTCACAAAACCACTTAAAACCCTAAAAACAAACAAATATTAGAACTTTCTGGGAATTAGAAATGCGACTTGGAAAATTTATAACTATAGAGGTAGAAGTGAAACCTCGATGAATTTATAGGGGTAAAAGTGAAGTTTTCCCTGTCTGTAGGGCAGTCATTTTCAAGCATGCGAGACATTCACGGGGATTCTGTCGTTTTAGCCACTCGCCAAATCAAGAACAGTTGGAGCAATGCCACGTCGCTGTTGCCCTGATGGCGTAAGTTAGAAAGGATTGGACGGTTTTGCTAAAGTTAAAAATTAAATAACGTTTGGAAGGAATAAAATAAAGTTAATCAATTCTTTGTACCAAAGAAAATGAATTGTTGTTGGGTAGATTTAGTAAAGCATAAGCAACGATAAATAAAGTCATATAGTACCAAAATAAATTAGTGAAGAAAGGAATAATAAAAATAATAATGTGAAAAGGGCGTAGTAGTTGAACCGCTTTTTGGACTCTATTGATGTTTAGGGATAGAATAAACATTCTCAAATTAAATTGCCACTCGTCATGTTTTTGTCCAGTCATCATATATTTGATAATTAAGGAGATTTTTTTTAAAAAAAATGTTTAACGATGAGAATGTTGAATTTAAGTTTCTCTTTGTTTCTATTTTTCTTTTTTAATTGATTGACCATAATTGGCTATTTTTCAATTAAATGCGAGAACGATGGGTGATTAATAAATAAATAAACTAATGCAGTTTCTCACGGGTGATTAGAAAATGAGTTTTAATAAAATTTAAAAAAAAATGGAAAAAAACTAATGCAGAACTTCTTCAAGGTATGATCTAGATCTTGCCTATTAACTTTAGGTTTATTTATCTCTTAGCGGTTTGGGTTAGATCCAACCAATTATATTCATAATTGTGAACTCATTTCAAGGTCTGATCTGACCAATGCCCTATTCACCGTGTTATTTTTAACTCATGGGTCACAGATGGGTTGACCTAAGAGTTAAATTCGTTTTCTTTCTTTCAATACAATTTAAAAAAAAAATAGAATAAGTCAATTTGCCATGCCAATTGAATTTGGCAGGGTCGATGGGATAAGCAATTCAATTAGAAGCACAGAGCAACTTACCATCTTTATTGTACGAAGATTGTTTTATTTTTGATAGTATTGTGAGGATTAATTTTAACTCCATTGAATTAATAACTAAGTAAAGATTTTTAAGGAGCCAATTGCATAAAGATAAAGATATTTAATTGCATAAGAACAAGCTTGGGACACTAGACATATGGTTACGTTCCTTCCTAAAACGGAAAGATTGGTCCGAGGAGGAGAAGATGGGATAAAATCAAAGGTTTAAGAGTATTCCTAATATGAGGATTTATGAGAAAAAGTAAAACAAGTATTGAAACTCGATTTTTAAACACTAATACATTAAAATTAAATTAAATTCATAGAGTTGTTAAACTCATATCTAACATCAAAATCTAATGGTGTCCACCAACATGAAATCAACGGTGCTAAAATCATGAGAGAGGGTTTATTGTCTTCATGGTTAACGATGGTTAATATTAGTGGACTGTGACTTTATGTATAATTTTAATAATAATGCGGTTTTAATTGTATTTTAAAGATGTAGGTGTTTAAGGTTTAGATCCTGAATTTCAATTTCAATTTTCAATTTTTCTTAATTTTTACTTTTCTGTTTTTTTTTCTCTCTTTTTTTCACAATTTTTCTGCTACTATATGTCACAAGATAATGGATACATTAGTACCTAACAATCTAAATTAACAACAACAAACACTCAAATAGAAAAAAAAAAAAAAAAAAAAAACATCAATAATTCAAATGGGTAAAATGAAACATGAGGTACTCACGTAGAAAAATAAGAAAATAACGAACTAAATAAATGGCAAACACTGAAATAAAAAATGGTAACTCTATTAGGTAAAATAAAAGTTGAGGCACTCTAAGGAGAAAGTAATAAAAGATTGGACACCAAATATATATTTTTATCTTAACTTTTTATGCAATTATTCTATCTTTCAACAGAAAAAATAAAATAAAAGAAGAGGAAGATGAGGATGACCGTAAAATTTTTTGCAAATCTAGTGCATTGGCACTCTCGTCCATTATTTCATAGCTATAAGCTCAATTATAAAATAATTTTCATATTTGAGTAAGAATATCGTTATTTATTACAAGAAGAGAAAAAGTTCATGCATCATTTTTTTTTTCTTAGAGATAACTGGATAGTTAGAGTCAAATTTTTTTATTATTTATATATTTGAATGTCTCATTTTTAATGTTATTTATTTGAATTATTGGCTTTTTATTTTTACTTTCTATTTCAATGTCCACCATTAATTCAGTGTGTTAAGTATAAATATTTTTGTTATCTCATGACACGTGGCAAAAGGTGCTACTAATAGAAAATTACGTATTTAATTCCAATATTTTATTGTCTTTCTATTTGTATGTTTGCCCTTGGTTAAGTTTGTTAGGTGTTGACATATCTATTATCTCATCGAATCTGGACAAAAAACTAGGTATTAGGCACTAGTATCTCGAAAAAAAAAAATTATAAAGGAACAAATAAAACAAGAACTTAAATTCAATATTTGGGTATTAGGCACTAGTATCTTGAAAATAAAATAAAATTGAAGTTAATTATATTTTTGGTGTACAAAATTATCAATTTTTTATTTGAGTGTGTCAATTTTAATCTTTGTTATTTATGTAACAACTTATAATTTTTTCTACTTTAGTGGTTTCATCAATTTTCATTAACTTTATACTCGAAGTGGTTGTTAATCGCACACCTAGTACCAAGTCCCATAATTATACACATGCTAGTCTGGGAAAAAAAGTTTATTACATATTTAACTTAGGTGAGAATTCGCCCAAGTGTGAGAAAAATAGGGTTTTTTGACACTTTTGGTGTTTGGATGTTTAATTGGTGATTTCATGGTGAATTAAATGGAATGGATGTATTCAATATGTGCAATTATATGTTTGCGACATATTTGTGTATATTATGGATGCAGTGAAATGGTTCAATAGTTGGTGTAATGCATTATGGTTTGATTGTTGTTATGAAATACAACGTTACGTGATGCGCCATGTTAATTGTTCCGTAATTGAATCGTGTGCCTTGAATGTGTAGTCCTGGATTGCAAGGCAATATATATGGTTGCGAATTTATAATATTGAGATATGCACTTGTCATGGCATAAATGCACATTATTCATGTCATGCACTACATTAATTTATGATGACTAGACGAGATACAATTTAAATTTATGTATATGCTAAGTCATGGAAAGATTTAATATCATGAAAAAAATTCCTCCATAGTTTTCCAAAGGAAAATGGAAAAAGTTTCATGGTTCATGGTTTTTATAGTCCCTGCATTTCCTTTCAAAGAATTTTTTCATGCTTGGGGTAATTGGTGATGACCTCGATAAAAGGAAATGGCATTTTCTCATTAGGGAACCGATAATGACCTCAATCGTAGGGAAATTGATAATGACCCCATAGGAGAAATGCTCGGGGAAATAGGGTCGAACATGTACGGATGTAAACACTCAAATGCTCTATAGGACACGTCCGACCACGGAATAGATTTTTCGGATTGATCATGGAAAAGAATTTTATGGCATGAAACAAGGATTTCAAAACAAA